CGCGGAATATAGGAAAGGAATTGATTGTTTAACCACTTCCAGAGTTTTGATTATCCAGAATATTTCTTAAATTTCTGATAAGTCAAGAGATTCAGCCAGAAATCGAAATAAAATGAGTTCAATTTCAAATTCCAATGTTTGATTAGTCTCAGTCTTAGTATTCTAAAGATCTTAATTTTAAAAAAATTTAGGAAAATCTTTGTTGCACTCTAGGCCCAATTCAATTTTCCATAATACTTTATTAGTAAAAAAAAATTAATTTAGATGTCGTAGTCCCTTTAAATGGTCATAATTTAAAACCTGAAGGGAAATCTTAGTTGAGAGGGAATAAAAATAAAAATTTCTTTTTATTTTAGAAAACGTATAATCGCACAGAAGTTGTTCCTTTGATTCTTAACATTCAATCTTCTTCTTCTTCTCCGTTTTATGGCTATTTCCAGGTTCACCCGGGTAGGCCATTTTTCCCTCTAATTTTCCTTTTCCATTTTTGACGGTCCTGAGCATCAATATTTGTAAGATTCATGCTTCTCATATCCGCCGCTATCACATTTGTCCACGTCATCTTGGGCCTTCCTGTAGGTCTTGATCCTCCTACTTCCATCAAGGTGCATCTCTTTAACCGGTCATCTTTAGTCATATGTTCCACATGCCCAAAAAATCTTAGTCTATTTTGTCGCATTACCACTCCAATCATTTGTATACCCAATCTTGCTCGCAATTCCTTGCTAATTTTTTTCTCTCTCTCAGAGATACCCCACACATCCATCTAATCACCCTAGTCTCTGTTCTTTCTAATATGGCTTCGTGAGTCGCTTTCATTGTCCATGTTTCGCCGCCATAAAACTAAACAACTTCTCACCAGCTTACGTAAACTTTCCCCCCTTAACTTCAGAGAGACTTTTTTTATTTGCAAGAATAGACGACACTGAACTTCTTACAAGCTTGTCTGACCCTTGCAACAACGGTAGAATCTACACCCATCCGCGTTTAGCATATCACCCAAATAACAAAATAACATATTATATTATGCATAATACCTATTTAGTGCTTCTACGTTCAACCGTTTTCACCATTCATTTTAACCTTATCTTGTGTCTTTTACATAAAATGGGGGAAAAAAATATTTCGGTATAACCTTAATGACATAAATTACAATTATAAAAGATTCAATGAAAACAATATCTAAAAATTTTAATTAAAAGTATATCTTCATTATGTCTTACAATTGAACTCTATATTATATAAAATTAAGTATTCATTAAAAAATTTTTTAATATTAAATAATAATTAAAATTAAAATGGACATTAAAAATTTTTTTTTTTAAATACGAATATTACTACAAATTATCTCATAATATTCCATATTCCAAGGCAAAAAAATAAAATAAAATAAATTTAAGAGAAAGGAAAGAATATTATTTTTAAAAAACATATAATTATTATGTTACAATATTTCGTTTTAATTTTTTAGTTTATGCCATTAAAATAAAGCCAATAATTAACTTAATATTTGGAATATTTTTTTTAAAAAAAACTGCCTTTTCCTTCTTTATTTGCATAATATGTTAAAAATAAAACACCGTTTTAATCGTTTTATTTCTATTCGAAGTGTTTTTAAAAAAAAAAAATTTTTTAAGACCTTAATTTAAAAAAATACCATCTCATTAAAGTATTGTCGAATACTCAATTTGTCGAATCCTTCGAATAAGAATAGTATTATTTTTTTATTTTTATTAAAATGTTCGGATTAGAGCTCTGCGATTAGTATTTCAAAAGAAAGAAAAAAAGGAAGGAAGGAAGGAAGGAAGGAAGGAAGGAAGGAAGGAAGGAAGGAAGGAAAGAAGGAAGGAAGAAAGAAAGAAAGAAGGAATAAAGGAAGGAAGGAAGAGTACACATGTTTGAGGATCCACTATACGCAGATGCAAAAGAGGATATTAAATTATAGCATTTACCAACGAGTGGATAACTGTATATTAATTTTAAGTTTTATAAAGCCCGTTAGTGACGATTATAATAATGAATTGAGATATTCTTAGAGAATCCAATATGGTTTAGGTTAGTAAATATTCTTAGGATTAGGATCAGAGTAAATATATTTCAAAAAAAAAATAAATGAATTTTTTTTAAATGTGAAGCTTTTTATTTCTGGCAAACTATTCCAGGGTCCCAAATTAGATTAGAACCATTAAGTTATCACTCGCCATTATGAGCATCGGGTCTTCGTGATATAATAGTCAGAGACCTGCAGATGTACCATTGCTCGACCCGACTCGGCTAGAATTTTTTTTAGGGCAATTTTCTTCTCAAAAATTCCTCAAACTTAAAATTAGAACGGTTAAATTTTTACTCATCCATTTAAGAAGCATCGAAATTTTATCCTTTATTTTCCAATAATTCCTCAAAATCTTTCCTTAATTTGGCAGAAAATTATTTTTTTATAATAAATTTTAAAAAATGTGACTAATTTATTTTATTTTTATTTTTTTTTATAAATTTTTTTTTCTTATATATTAGAGAACCATAATATTTTTGGGGTCATTTTATCCATATTATTATTAATTATGGCGGCATATTTTGCCTCAATTTAAATAAAAAATAAAATATGAATGAATGAATGATTCACTATTGTTGTTAAACGGCTTGATTTGCTGATTTTTAAAAAACGGCTAACTCAAAATTATAGCCAGCAACAGATGTTCAATCCCATGTGCCATCTAAGAGCAAAAATCTTTAGGCTTGCATCATAATATATTTTTTTCTGGGAAAAAAAAATTATAACGAGTTAGCCGTTTTTGGGGGCAAAATATTACTTAGAACCAGAGTTGTTAAAAGATAATTTTTAAATGGTTCTAGATACAGCTACAGATACATCGTCTAAAATAATATCTAGATACAGATATTTTAATAAAAAATCTATCTAGATACAGATACAGATACCACATTTTTATATCTAGATACAGGCTCTAGATACTTGTATCTAGATCCTTTAACAACTCTGCTTAGAACCAAAGGATTTTGAACGTTTTTTTAGTATCAAGCCCAAATTGAGCCGTTTAAACAACACTAATTATCACTACCTTTATTTTTCTTAATATTATGATTTATATACATATATGTGAATACGATTTGGACTTGGACGGCCTTGAACATATTTGAATATCTTTTTATTTTCGCATAATAAAAATTTTTTTTTTTTTAAAAAAAATGAAATTTTCGGGAATCTTATTTTTAATTCGTTCATTAAAAAAATTATTTTTTTTTGTTAGCAAATTTGTATCGTACATAAAAATAAAAATAAAAAATAAAAATTAATTGGATATTGAAATTAAATATTTTTTTTAAAAAAAAAATGGCATGTTCTGGAAGTGGCCTCATGAAAAATATGCGGGAGATCTTTAGCCTTTTCTGGAGGACGATTTAGCCTATCATCTTCTATACACATGAAAAACATGATATTAGTGTACAATAATGATTCTAAGGGTAATAAGATTCAAGGAACCCATAAATAACAATTTTAGCACTGGAACCAATCTTTATATCCACTTTTTTTTGCTTGTGTAGTAGAGGTTTTCCAGATTTGTGGCTTCGTCTCTGCCTATCTTTTTATGTGCGTTAGAATTGACTGTATTATATCATTTCTAGTTGGGGTCTATTTGAAAGTTATAGAATGGGAGATAATATCCTCTGGACTAAGACCAATTCCATTTGAGAAGATGAACTTGGAATTAAACTATAACTACCTATGGTGGCACAATGATCTCAGGTAAAATTTGGTGAATCCCATTAGGGTCTTCATTTGTTGAAATATAGAATATTTAAGTTTTTTTTTCGTATATGAAAGTATTCAGTGGGACCAAATAACCCGTGGATTGAAAACATTTCTGGATATTTAAAGCTTGAAGAGATTTTGGAAGAATCTCCTTAACCGCGCCGGAGATACCGAAAATTGTAAAATTAATCCCTAGATGCGTTTCTTATTCTTTATTATTTTTTAAAGAGATTAGAATACACCGGGTGAGGAATGGTCATTAAAACTATGCCACTGCAGGAGTACACCTCAATCGGCATAACTCTTGGTACAAAATTTTAAACATCAAGCAACGTAACGCTAGTTTAGAACTTTCTATTGGCACCTTATAAAATCGTAGAAGGTTTGCGACATATATAATTTTATTTTATATATATTAAAATATTGTAATTCCAGCTTTGTCTATTATATCATTATAAAAAAAATTTTTGATGATATTAATATATTCAAAAAAAATGGTTAAAATTCCATATAATATACGTATTGCAACTTAAAAAACCATACAAAATATTTGGCTGACATATTCATGGTTTCTTGATTGAGGTAATTAGTTATGAAAATTCCAGAAAATCCACATTTTTTCATACAAATGGGAGGAGCCGCCTTTAATAAGAATTATAAAAATGTATTATATTAAACTCTTTAATTGTTTTTCTGTATTAGTAAAAAAAGCCTTAGATACTTTAAAATTGTAACTAAAAAAAAATATCTAATACAAAAAGTATCTGTCGATATATTGATTTTAAGGTTTTTTTTTCAGGTAGCCTCATATTTTTAATACTTAAATTATGCTTTACCAAAAATATTACCAATTTAAAGATAACCTCATTTGGAGATCCATTTAAATTTTATGATTTTAAAAAAGAAATATAATATTTAAAATAAATAATATTTTTTATTAAATGTGTATGTTTTTAAAATATATTTTTCTAAGAGTCAAAAAAAGGAAATATTATAGTATATAAGTAAATTTTTACTTTATTATTGACAAAAGTGCATATATAAATTTATATTTAAAAAAGTAAAACTTTCTTGTTTGACAAAATAAGCTAGAAGTTAAATAAATTTAATAGATTAGTTTTTGGCGAGCTATTCCATCCACCATTGAACTTTTATATAAGTTCCGATAAACAAGATATAACCATTTGTAAGATCTTTTATAAAATAGAGGAAGGGTCTGTCTGCGGTAGTTTCAGTAATAGGTAAAGATAAAGTTTCCGCAACCACAGCAGGGAGCTGCTGCCTCTGTCCCTTTTTCGTTAACTTCAATAACCGCCTTGTGAAATATTTCGCTAATGCACAATCTGGAAGATTTGTCGGATCCTGCTAAGCCGGAAAAATCTGCAGATCCTCTAATAATCATACAATATATAAATTGAAATAACTAGGAAAAAAAAGGTGTATTGTATTTAGTACAGTCAATTATTATCAAATTAAATCTTATATTTTAATTTTCTTTATCAAATAAATATTAAATTATTTCATCTAAGTATTTCATCTAAGTATTTCATCTAAGTATTTCATCTAAGTATTTCATCTAAGTATTTCATCTAAGTATTTCATCTAAGTATTTCATCTAAGTATTTCATCTAAGTATTTCATCTAAGTATTTCATCTAAGTATTTCATCTAAGTATTTCATCTAAGTATTTCATCTAAGTATTTCATCTAAGTATTTCATCTAAGTATTTCATCTAAGTATTTCATCTAAGTATTTCATCTAAGTATTTCATCTAAGTATTTCATCTAAGTATTTCATCTAAGTATTTCATCTAAGTATTTCTATTAAATAATTGGAAAGTAGTATTAGAAGATTGAAATGTTTGCTATATTTACTCGAATATATTTCTAAGATCAAGATTTTTTTTTAGCGTCTCTGAAAGAGTGACATCGAAGTTTGTTTTAAATACTGGCAAAGTAATATCTACCAAATTTCCTTTGCCGTTTTTATTAGTGTAGATAAGGATTCAAAGGATAGCACTTTGATCAAATTTGACAATCATTTTTGTTCGGGGAGCACAAAGAACATGGCCAAATTGGGATTGGCATATTGAATTCTGACAATTTTGATCGTTTGATCTGGAGTGAAACTTGGCTTCTCCTCAATTTTCTTTAGTTGTGTTTCACCGTATTGAGCATTATTAGAACCATACATCATTTTAACCTTTTCGAGTTCCCCGTCATCTCTCGTGAAAACCTTTACGAAAGTGAGTCTATATAAGCAAATTAGTATATATATTTGTCAAGAAAAGAGTATTATAGTGATATTTATAATAGATGGTCATTCAGCCTATTCTTAACAATGAATAATCTTAAATACAATAACACTAACCCGCAATATTAAATACTTAAATAAATTTGATTCCGTAAACTTCATTAAATATACTATGTAAAATTTTATTTAACACATTTGTGTTCACAGTCGAACTGTTACCCTTTTATTTTAGCAATAAATCTGTCAATTCTAAGATATAATTCAATACAGTTTTAAAGACTGTGAGAGAAATAAATTCTTAACAAAATTCCAACTATCCAACATATTAACTATTAATTTACCTGATAACATCTTTAACTTAGTTAGGGCCATATCGACAGATGAGGAGTTTGAATCTCCAGATGTTTTGCTGAAAAGGCTAAAATTATTTTATAAAAGTAATGATATAAATATTATAAATAAAAATATTGATAAACATAATAATTAATACTTATAAATTAAAGGAAATTTTTGTTGACATAATATCGTTTGAAATAATTTTAGTATCTAATGATAAAAATGATGAAAATATAAATATACCCATAAGATAACATGGTGAAATTTTAAAAGAGTATTATGACTGTAAAAATAATGATATAAATCTTAATATTGAAAAAATCAGTGAAAATAAAATAGATGAAATTCCCATACACAAAATTTAAAAAAAATAGAATCCAAATCATTAAAGCTTGACACTTACAAATATAAAAAAATCAAGAGAATAGACAATACAAATAAACATTTGCCTTGTATAATTAATGATAAAGTGGACGAATTTCCCAAATTTAAAATTTTAAAAACAATGAAATCTAAATTATGTTTAAAGTACAAAACATATGTAAGTAATAATGACTACTTTAAAACATTATTTTTTATTGAAGATAAAAGAAAACAGTAATTTTGAGTTATTATTTGCTTTAAAGAATAAGGGAAAAAGTTTAAATCTCTGAAGAGAGAGATTTTATTAAAAAATACATATAATATAAAAAATGTTAAGGTTGGCAGGGAATTAGACAAGATTTAACAAATTTTTTATTTAATAAATATATATTATATATAAAATATTTTACACTAAAAATACAATAAATTTATTCTTTATATATAAAAAAAATCTATTAAAAAATTTAAATGAAACTATTAAGTGAAGTTAATATAAATTGTGTTAATTAAATGAATGCGACATATAAAAATTTGCGCTATATAACAACCAGTATAATAAAATAATTATCCATGGTTAACATAAATATAAAGTTTTTATTGGTTTTATCGATAATATTTTAAAAAAATGGCTTTCAATAAAGATGAGATGACTTGAATAGTGTTGTTAAACGGCTAACTCAATATTTTAGCTAGAAAATATGCTCTAAGCCTCGAGGTTTCGTTTATAGACGTTCAAATCTTTGTGTCACCTATGAGCCAATATTTTTCCTAATAATGTATTGAGTTAGCCTGAGCCGTTTATTAACACTAGATGTGAGTTCTATCAAAATTTACTCCATAAGTTAATCTAACAAAATGATAGAGTTTGCAATAATTCAGTGATAGAAAAACAAGTTTGAGCCGATCAATTGCTATTACAATATTTGAGTCAAATTAAATTTGAAATCTTGATGTTTTATTTTTAAAAAAAAAGTACAATCTTTTTTTCATATTGGAAAGTTCTTTGTTCAAACTTTGAATATGCATTACTATTCATCTGATGAAATTTGCAGAAAACTTTGATAATTTATACGTCACAATCTGTAAAAAAAAAATTTTGAATTATTTTTTAGGAATTGATTGATTTATTGCCAAACAAAAAGGACAGTATTAATTTGGAACATAAGTTTATAGAACTCACTCTGGTTTAAAAGGAATTCCCCAATTACTATTAAAGTAGATAGTATCCACCAAGACAACTTTGGTGTCTGAATTAAGAGACCTGGCAGGTAATAAGTCTTTGATTAAACCTTTAGTGAACTTTGAAACATCAGAATTGATTATCACAATCGCCGCATCAGCTTGAGATAGACAAGTAATTTAGAGTTTACACACGCATCTCATAATATTTAGACAATTTTTGAACAAGTATTGGATCATCTTTAAATTTTTCACTCGGGTAGAGTCCGTTAGATATCGCTATGGTTACGTTTTGGTAGCTTTTCAGAGTTTGAGTAACTTTTTACAACGGAATCTAGAGTTTTAGCAGTTATTCCTGAGGATCCCTGAAGTATGTCTCCATAATGTAGAAGAGTGTTAAACAGCTCCGTAAACGTTTGGCCTCAAACCTCCAACAGTAAAAGTGTCAATGAACGACCAATGTTAAAAGGCGAAAATATCACATTCGTTTGATTCGTTATCGGAATATCATTTATATGGCCAGCATTTTTGTCTTGCAGAGATTTTAGCAATTGAAAAGTAAATTTTTGGTTAACCTCTCCTAGCTTTGTTGTTTCCAAAGTACTATCTACAGCGGGAATAGAGGTGTAAAGTAGGTACACCTTAAGGACAACAAAGAATGCTATTAACATAATTTCTCAAAAAAGTTTTTATACTGTTTGAATATATCATGAAACTTGTGGTATCTCAAAATTGATTCGTATTCTGTTGATCTCAGACTTGGAAAATCTATTTGTGAAACGCAAAAATTATTTTTAAATAAAATGGATTAACATTTTAATTAACAAAATTCTTAACCGGTTTTTATAAAAATATGCTTGTTTTTTTTTTGTTAAATTTTATTAAAATTTATTATATGCATGATATCCCTCAAAAATTATAATATTATCTTGATGAGACATTCATATACTCAAACATCGCTAAACATGTTTATCGGTTAAATAATCTCTTATATTATATCTGGAAGATCTTAAAATAATTTTTGAAGGCTTTTAAGGTCGATGATTATAATATTTTATTTTATTTTTTTAATAGTTAAATAAAACATAGTGTTCAAGTCGATTACTTTTCAATCACTTTTCTGAGAAAGCATTTCTTAGCAATCCTATAAGTTTTAAAAACTAGGATCCCTACCCTGTCCAGCAATATAATTACTGCTTAATCAGCATTGCCAATATAGGAAGAGAAGAGTATACCAAACTTATTTTTTCTTAAATCAATTGTTCTGTTGATAATACAGAACCATTCGGAAGTACATAGCCTGCAAGTTAAATGAAACACAAAACCAAAAAATTCACTCACGCAACACGGGAAGATGATAAATAAATTGGAAAATTTCCTTTAATATATTTCATATCTAGTTAGAAATAATGTTGCGTGCATGCATATTATTTAAGAAGAAATCGCGTCATTTGGGGAATACATGAAGGGGCTCAGGCTCCCTCAAAAATTTGAATAGTCCCCTGAACGAAAGAATTTTGATAGTCCTCTGAACTATTTTTTATTGTATATAGTTTTGAATTATTTTTAAAAAATTAATAAGACTATATAAATTTTTTTATTAAATGAGTACTATTTTAATTATTAGATTAATAGTATAAATTATATTTTCACTATGTTAACAATTGCAATCAAATTCTGTGTTATCTATGGAATATCAACATCACTCGTAGTTATAATAAGTTTATATCTTTTATATGTATATTATCATTTTAGAATTATACATTCTATTTCATATTATAGAATTATTAGTTTTTAAAATTGAAAAATTAAATAGATATTAAATATGATATATCATATGACAAATAAAAAGTATTTATAAAAGTAAAAATAATGTCTAAATATCAATCAAGCATTATTCTTATTATTTTTAAAAAATGAATAAGACTATATTAATTTTTATTAAATGAGTACTATTTTAATTATTAGATTAATAGTATAAATTATATTTTCACTATGTTATCAATTGCAATCAAATTCTGTTTTAAATATGGAATATCAACATCACTCAGAGTTATAATAATTTATATTTTTATATGTATGTTATTATTTTAGAATTATACATTCTATTTTCATATTATAGAATTATTTTTTGAAATTGGATATTAAATATGATATATCATATGACAAATAAAAATATTTATAATAAGTAATAATAATGTCTAAATATCAATCAAGCATTAAAAGTAAAGCTTAATTTATTCTTATTATTTTTAAAAAATGAATAAGACTATAAATTTTTATTAAATAAGTACTATTTTAATTATTAGATTAATAATATAAATTATATTTATATTAATATCACTCATAGTTATGATAATTTTATATGTATATTATCATTGTATATTATCATTTTAGAATTATTCTATTTTCATATTTTAGAACTATTAGTTTTTGAAATTGGATATTGAATAGATAATAAATATGACATGTTATATAACAAATAAAACATATTTTATGTAACAATAATGACTTAATATCAATCTAGCATTAACAGTGAAGCTTAATTGATTTTTATCATTTAAATTATTTTATATCCCTAATAAGATAAATATAATTATTTATTGACTGGAAATAAAATAAAATCAATTTAATATTGTGATTTGTGTTAGCCTAGTTCTAAATCACTAATCAACTAGATTACTCATTTTTAGATTTAATTTATTATATCTCTTTCTAAAAAAATTTCTAAGATACAAACCAGTAATCGAAACTACTTTTGGTTATTAAAACTCTAAGTATATTTAATGAAGACATCTTTTACTCATTTATTTTTTATTAGATAATGAAGAAAGAAAAGATTGATTTTGATATGAATGCTTTAAAAAATGGAAATGGAAACAATTTTGATGTTGATAATATTTTAGACAAAGAAGAAAGAGCAATGAAAGGGTTGAAGTAAGTATTATAATTAAAACATCTTTAACTCATTTAATTTTATATTTATTAGATATAATGAAGAAAGAAGAGATATTGATGTTGAGGATGAAAGCTTTAAATAATGGGAAATAGAAGTAATATTAATATAGATGATATTTTAGACAAATGAAGATGAGGCGATGAAAAAGTTATTGAAGAAAGTATACATTTAAAATACAGTTTTTCAATTTCAAACTATGCTAAAAGATATAATAAATGAAAAGTAATTGTAGTTCTGAGACAAATAAATATTGAAACCAAAAATGATAAGAGAAAGAAAATAGGTGATACTATTTTTTTTATATCAGACAATTTATTTTTAATATAATAAAAATATATATGTGAGGTTCAATCTGAAGATATCTCCTATGGTATTAAATTTTCTAATGTAATGAAAAATTGAATTAAATATAGGTTTGGATTCTGATGAAAATGCTATAGCCTTATTATCGGTAGCAACAATTCATATAATAAAGGTATAAAGGATAAATCACAAATTATTTAATGCTCTTTCTTTGATATTATAAATTATAATATATATATTCTGCAATAGCAAATATTAAATACTGTACTGTAATAAATAGATTAAATATTTTGTATTAAAAAAATATTATCATAAGCTTACCAAATGTCTTGTATTGTTTTAATTATCATTTTATATGCTAGTTATTAGAATGTATAAATAATAAATGACAAAATATGAAATTTTGAATATTAGTTCAGAGCTAGTAAATTTCATTTTAAGATGTAAAATATCTTTTATATAAAAAGCCCGATAATATTTTTTTAGTCGAACCCCCCTGGGATTGTAAAGGCTAGTGACGCCTCGGAATCACCTCTCAATCACGTAATATTTATAATAAATGCTTGTAGATAGAACATACTTTGATTTGTAAAACTTTTATAATCTATATAATTACTATTTTTCAAAATAATCTAATTACTTCAAATATATTGTAATAAGGTTTTAATTAAATGTAAGAAGGCAGTTACAGAAGATAAATATGGTTATACTAAGCCGTACAATTTAGAATTTTAATTTTAAAAAAATCTGTAATCTATATCATAGATATTTAAGTTCTTTCCTATTATATATATAAATATTTTAAAATATTATATATTTCTAAGAAAATTTTGTTCCTATACAGCTTTTACAAATTTGCTATTATATTGATTATGTTGTGGGTTATATATATCCATTAGTGATCTAGAAAAATCTAGACTTTGAGCAAATTTTTAAAATGTCTTTTTCAATTTTGAAAGATGATATTTCTTGAATCACATTTAAAAAATGGAGAGAGCGAATATTTCTGCCAAAATTTTTTCATACAAATTTACAAAAAACACAAAATTTATTAGTAAAATCATCTAAATATTATTGGCCGAAATTTTGAAAAAGTATCATAAAATAATTTTAAAATTTATAAATTAGTTGAAAACATGGAAATTTTTACTTTATTTTTTTTGACAAGGTGCATATCTAATTTATATTTTAAAAAAGTAAACGTTCGTTTTTTGGGGAAATAGGCGAGGTGTTAAAATCAGGCTAAATGAATTAATAGATTATATTTTTGCGAGCTATTTCATTCCATCATTGAACTTTTATATAAGTTCCGATAAACAAGATATGTCCACTTAGAAGATCTTGTACAAAATAGAGGAATGGTCTATCTGCCGTAAAACTTTCGGTAGAAGGTAAAGAAGATTTATCTCCTATGACCACCCCAGTGCTAGCTGCTGCCTTAGTTCCCTTTTCGTTAACTTCAATAACCGCCTTGTGAAATATTTCGCTAATGCACAGTCCGAAAGAATTATTGTATCCTGTTAAGCCGGAAAAATCTGCCGTTCCTCTAATTATCGTATAATAAATAAATCGAAATAACAATAAATTTTAGATCGTAATAAGAAAAAAAGTGTATTTTTGTCAATTATCAAACAATTAAATCTTATATTTCTAATTTTCTTTACCGAATAAATATTATATAATTTCATCTAAATATTTGATCTATTATATAATTTATAAAGTAGTGTTGGAGATTGAAATGTTTGCTATATTTACTCGAATATATTTCTAAGACCGAGCTTTTTTAGAGTTTCAGGAAGAGTGACATCGAAGCTTGTTTTAAATATTGGCAAAGTAATGTCTACCAAAGTTTTCTTTGCCGTTTTTATTAGAGAGGTTAAGGATTCAAAGGATAGCACTTTGATCAAATTTGGCAATCCTTTTTGTTCCGGAAGTACAAAGAACATGGCCAAATTGGGGTTGGCATACTGAATACCGAGAATTTTGATCTTTTGATCTGGAGTGGAACTTGGCTTGCCTTCAATTTTCTTTAGTTGCGTTTCACCATATTGAGCCTTATTAGTACCAAACATCATTTTTACCTCCTCGCGTTTTCCGTCATCTCTCGTAAAAGCCTTTACAGAAGTGAGTCTATATAAGCAAATTAATATATTATTTGTTTAGAATAAAACATATTTATAAGTAGATAGTAATTCAGCCTATTATTTTAAATACGAATAATTTTAATAACAATAAACTAAATATAAAAATAATTCAATAAAACTTTAACGATTGAGAGACGAATAAGTTATTAACGTTTATTGCAATTTTTATCAAATTTATATCAAATTTATTTATATCAAATTTATATCAAATTTTTATCAAATTTATATCAAATTTATATCAAATTTTTATCAAATTTATATCAAATTTATATCAAATTTATATCAATATATCAAATTTTTATCAAATTTTTATCAAATTTATATCAAATTTTAAATTTAAATCAAATTTAAATCAAATTATATCAAATTTCTAAGCTTTGCAAAATGTTAAAAAAAAATTTGCAATATTTAATAATATTATTGCATTATTTATAACTGATAGATTTATTGTTAAACAAAATGGAATTTTTTTTAATTTGAACACAGTGTATAATAGAAGAACTTACTCTGGTTCGAAAGAAATTTTCCAATCACCATTAAAGTGGATAGTATCCACCAATACAACTTTGGTGCCTGAACTAAGAGACCCAGGGGGTAATAAGTCTTTGATTAAACCTTTACTAAACTCGGAAACATCTGAATTGATTTTCACAATCGCCGCATCAGCTTGAGATTCGTAATTCAGAGTTTGCACACGCGTCTCATAATATTTAGACAATTTTTGAACGAATATTGGATCAACTTTGAATTTTTCACTCGGGTAGAGTCCGTTAGATATCTCTATGGTTACGTTTTGGTAGCTTTTCAGAGTTTGAGTAACTTTTTGAACAACGGAATGTAGAATTTCCTGATTTTTAGCAGTCATTCCAGATGATCCCTGAAGTATGTCTCCATAATGTAGAGTGTTAAACAGCTCCGTAAACGTTTGGCCTCCAACCGCCAACAGTAAAAGTGTCAGTGAACGACCAATGTTAAAAGGAGAAAATATCACATTCGTTTGATTCGTTATCGGAATATCATTTTTGTGGCCAGCAATTTTGTCTTGCAGAGACTTTAGCAATTGAAAAGTTAATTTTTGGTTAACCTCTCCTAGTTGTGTTGATTCCAAACTATTTACAGCAGGAATTGAGGAGCAAAGTAGGTTCACGTTAAGGACAACAAAGAATGCCATTAACATAATGTCACAAAAAAAAATGGTTTCTTAATAAGGTTTGATTAATATATAATGAAGTTTGTGGTCTCTTCCCTAATTGATTTCTTTCGAAAATGATTTATATTTTGTCGATCTCAGATTTGGGGAAATTATTTCTGAAAAGGCAAAATATTTTTTTAAGTCCTAATAATTAACATTTTAAAACAAAATTATAAACATGGATTTTATAAAAAAATGTTAGCCTTTTTAAAATTGTTTTTTAAAAATAACATTTAAATCAAAAAATTACAATAGAATATATATGACCTTCATACATGAACAATCCGAAACATGTTATATATATATATATTTTTTAAAAGTCCATCTCTGAAATTCGTTGTTAGAGAAGATAAGAATAGTTTTTTTTTTGTTAAATAGTTTTTTTATATATTATATATCTAATCAAAAAAAAATTTATAAAAACCATTGAATATCAATATGATTATAATATTTTATTTATTTTTTAATAGTTAAATCAAGTTTCTTACGTTTAACACATCAATGGGAAAAAAATTTGTGGCAATTTTAGAAGTCATATTACAGCAGGTTCCCTAAAATATACCCTACTTTAACCAGGGTGCTTTGGAAGATAGTACTATACCAAACCTATTTTTTGGCAAGAAATCATTACCAATACAGCACTGTTCCTGTTGATAATACAGAACTGGTGTGAAATACATAGCCATATTTAACATATCATAATCAAATGGTGGCATATGAAACACGAAACCAAGAACTCCCGTTATCAAAAATTACACAACTCGAATATTAACTATAATTTGTTTAACATACCGATAAATAATTCTTGAATTTTTTAAAATAATATTTACATTTAGAGTTAAAGTTAGGAATAATGTTGGGTAACATATAGAAAACATCCCTCAATTACTTAAAATTTTATATATTATACTTTTCAAAATATTTTATTAACTTCAAATTTATATTGCTACAAAGTTTTCCTTAATATGTAAAAGTATACACTTGTAAAAACTAAATTGTAACTAAAATTACAGCTTAAAAGATGATTTTTTTACTAAGCTGCTGCACTAAGTGCTATAATTAACATTAAAATTTATGATTTGCTGAAAAATTTGCTAAATTCCTACGAGATATTATGGGAGATCGTTGTTATAGAACTCATAAGACTCTATTAAGATTAATTATTTTAAAGAATAAAAAAAAAATGCTCTATTTTTTAAATAAGTTTTTTAAAGAAGAAACAGTGGAGTGATTTATTGGTGTTATATGCCGCGATTTTCATTTTTTTTTGGGTACATGGAACTATTTTGATCCATCCTTTTTATCTATAAAATAAATGTTACTAAAATCTATAAATGAATAATTATTGTATATCAATCAATATTATATTTATTGTGAAAATGAATAAAATGTCTAGAAGATGATGGGCTAAAATTATATGTCACTCAAAAAGCTAAAATGTCTCCCGCGTATTCATTATGAAGTCACTTCCAGACAATTTATTTTCTCTTAAAGCTGTTACCCTAGCCACATTTATAGCAATTATTTTTTATTTCCTAGACACAGATAATATAATTGATCGAATTAATCATTTCTGCATTAATGGCCGAAAATGTGTTAGAGGCACCGCTTAGCAAAATACGAACTTCACTAAATAGGATCTTATGAAAAATACACGGGAGCTATTTTAACCTTTTTTGTGGAGGATGTTTTAGACTGTCCATCCATTAGAAAAAATAACACAACAAATATAATATCTATTATTATTACAAGATATTATTACAATGATAATTATTATATTTAACACTAATTAACTATCAATTATTTGCTCATTAAAAAATAATTTCACAACCTTTTATATTGAAATAACCAAATCAATATATAAGTCAATCCAATTTTTAGCTTTCCTTTGAACTCCTTCAATCAGCTGATAGTCATGAAATGGCTAGAATAATCAATCCCTAGTCAAAATATATTATGAAATCATATAATATGATACAAATATTTAATTTAAATGTAAAAATGCTTATTTTGACAAACTTTTGTTTACATAGCATATTGCAAAACAAAGTGAACTAAAAAAGATCTCTGAAAAAATAATATAAAAATAAAATACACACAAGAATACTAAAAAAAATTATATGAATTGAATAGTGAGATTTCAATAATTCCTACAATATAGAAATTTTTATAATGAAATAATTTTAAAATTTATTAAAATAAAATAAAAAAATTTGTTAACACGGGAAATGATAATGGCGTGCTAACAGATGATTTGTGTTAAACTCCTCAATTAATATATATATATCCTTGAGGCAACCCTGGTTGTAAGACTATTAGGATCACCGAGGTAAATAATTAATGTTTAATTTATTTTAATATATTTTTTATGCGCCCTTTAATTTACGGTACTACTTTAACTGTCACTCTTATCGAATAAAAATTACAAAATTTTCTCTTGAAAAAGAGAAAAATTCACTTATTGTTCCATTCTATAGATGATACTAAAATGTAAATAATAAAATAAAATTATGTGGATCTTTTTTTTCCGGAAACAGTGGAATTATCATGTTTCTATTATGATGCAGTACATTGTAAGCGACTAAAACGATATATAGAACTATTTAGTGGATGAGTATATTCTTCCTGATATAGCAGGAGAGACTGAAATAGGGTAAACCAGGGCTAGTAGGCGCAAAGGGTTTGCCTGTTCAGCCGTTTTTTATTAAAAATAGCTAGACATGTTTAGAAATTCAAATTTAATTATGGGTAAGACGATAGTTTAATAGGTTTTTCCCCGCATGCGCATTAGATTAAATTTTAATAATCAATTGGCCAATTTTTACTCGCATTTTTTTCGAGGAAAAAAGGGTTTAAAAGAAGATTACAATTTAACTATCACAATTTTATAATTGAGTTCCCAAAAAGGAACCATAAGGTGTATAAAATCTCGATTTGATTTATTTTTGGCGCAAATATAAAAATTCTCTGGCTTCTTTAGTAAAAAAAAACCGTAATTTATTGCCTAGATTTTTTTAAAAAATTTATATGATAAGACTAATAAAAGAATTTCTTATAATTTTAAACTTAGAGATTCTCCCATTCCCATTTAATCTAAATGGAAATATAAGAATCCTTAGATCAAAAGACTCTTATATTATAAAACTAAATCATTAAGATCAGCTGTTCCTTAACTATTCTATAAATAAGACCAAAACTCCACGAGGAAAAAGTATAAAATAACCAGGATTAATGCTAGATTTCATTTTCTTTTTAATAATTCACTTATTAAAATATATTTTGAATGGTTTCCCATATTGTTTCTTGAAAGAAATCCTATTAAATTTAGACTCATTCCTCCTTGATTATAATTTCCAAATAGAATTGCCTATTATATTTATTATTCCATTGATAAAAGGATTTAAGGTGATAGGAATTTTTATAAAAGGGGTTTGAATAATATCTATTATTTACACCATAAATTATTCGTACAACATTAAAAATACGAAACAATGTAAATTTAGTTGAAATATTCCGTAGACGCTATATAAAGCCATTGAAGATTTGGAGACCTGTAAAACGTTGATAATTTTTTTTATTAATTCTAATATTGTAATTCGACTCACTATATAGTGTAAATTTTAAAAAAATTAATTAGCTTTAAGTTTGATAAAATTTTCATAAAAATTAAAAAATTTTTAAAAATGTTTTAAATATGCACAATGGCTAAAATACAATTTTGGGATTATCTTATAATTTGATAACCTGATAATATATTTGATGGATATATTCAGGGTTTCTTAACATTGTCATTAGTTATTAAAAATTCGCAAAATCAGATTTGTTATAATGCAAAGAAAATAGGAACCTCACTTTTAAACTGTAATATAAAAAAAAGTATTTTATTTTCAATTTAGATTAAACTCCTTAGTGGTGTACTGTAATAGTAAAACTCCTTGTTGTTTCTAATTAGTTAACGAATTCAAAATTTCTGTGGATATTTTTACTTTGCTTTATTCAGTAGTCCTACCCTTAAATTATTGCTTATACAAGCATTTTTCATTTTATCATTTTAAAAGATAATCTCATTTGGATGCCTCATTGTTTAAATTTTATGATTTATAATAGAATATAATATTTTTATTCAAATGTATGTTTTTAAATATATTTTCTAAGAGAAATAGGAAATATTATAGTATTTAAGTAAATTTTTACTTTATTATTGACAAAAGTGCATATATAAATTTATATTTTAAAAAAAGTAAAACTTTCTTGTTTGACAAAATAAGCTAGAAGTTAAATAAATTTAATAGATTTAGTTTTTTGGCGAGATGTGTTATCTATCATTGAACTTTTATATAAGTTCCGATAAACAAGATATGTCCATTTGTAAGATCTTGTATAAAATAGAGGAAGGGTCTGTCTGCCGTAAAACTTTCAGTAATACGCATAGACGTCAATCCCGCAACCACACCAGTGGCAGCTGCCGCCTCTGTTCCTTTTTCGTTAACTTCAATGACCGCCTTGTGTAATATTTCGCTAATGCACAATCCGGAAGATTTATCGGATACTGTTAAGCCGGAAAAATCTGCCGATCCTCTAATTATTATTATATAATAAATAAAATTGAAATACAATAAAAAAATTTTTTTATCATTATAGGGGGAAAAAAAAGGTGTATCGTGTTTAATATTGTCAATTATCATCAATTAAATCTTATATTCTAATCAGAGACTAGGCCAGCCTGCCCCGGGTGCCCGTGCTAAGCCGTTTTTTAATTTTTTTATAAATCTACGGGTCGGGAGGTCTGAGATTCTTCTTTAAAAAATACTCGAGCTGGACCGTACCTGATTAAAAGAATAGCTGGGCGGGTCGGTTTTAAAAAATATAAAACCCGGGCCGGGCCGGGCCTAAAAAAATTCTCGAATAAAAAAATTTGGTTCGGGCCGGGCCCTGTAAATGGTACCTCTACAAGTCTCTGATATAATTCTCTTTACCGAATAAATATTAAAATTATTTCATCTAAATATTTTTTTTCTATTATATAATTTATAAAGTATAGTGTTAGAGATGGAAATGTTTGCTATATTTACTCGAATATATTTCTAAGACCGAGCTTTTTCAGAGTCTCAGGAAGTTTGACATCGAAGCTTGTTTTAAATATTGGCAAAGTAATGTCTACCAAAGTTTCCTTTGCAGTTTTTATTAGTGAAGCTAGGGATTCAAAGGATAGCACTTTGATCAAATTCGGCAATCCTTTTTGTTCCGGAAGTACAAAGAACATGGCCAAATTGGGATTGGCATACTGAATTCTGAGAATTTTGATCTTTTGGTCTGGCGTGGAACTTGGTTTGCCATCAATTTTCTTCAGTTGCGTTTCGCCATATTGAGCCTTAATAGTACCATGCATCATTTTTACCTTTTCGCGTTTTCCGTCATCTCTCGTGAAGGCCTTTACAGAAGTTAGTCTATATAAGAAAATTAGTCAATTTGAGTAGAGTAAAAAGTTGTAGTAATATCTATAGTTGAATAGTAATTCAGCCTATTACTTATAAATAGGAATATTTTTAAGTTACAAAAAAAAATGCTAATCTAATTAAATGATAAAAAATATTTAATTAATTTTGATTTCGCGAACCCCCCCCCCCATCAAAAATAAGTTGTAAAGTTTTATATGTATATTCATAAACTGTGTTCCAATCGAACTTGATGCATGGTGAAAATGATTCAAAAATAAACTATAGAGATTGAGAGTGGAAAATAGGAATCAATGTTTTCTGAAATTTAAATTAAATTTTATCAAAGAGTGTCGTCTATAGTTATCTACATTCATATATGGGTAAACAAAAATTCAAATTTTTTTAAAAAAATGGTTTTTTTTGTGGGGTAATATATGGCTTGAGTTTAAATTAAAACTTTAAGAGAAGAAGGTCGGAGCCAAATAAATTTTCGAGGAATTTCCTAACAGAAACTGGCCTATCGCAGCCTTGAACCGATTGATTGGAAAAATTGATGCTACAAGATGAAAAGTGCTGTAAGGTGGTAGACCCGCTCACATCCCATATTATAAAAAATTATATCCTGTTGAAATACTCGTATTGAGCCACTAAGAGACCGACTTGGCACACATGGAACGAGATTCGTCAAGTGTTCCCAGGAAACTGACATTTCGCAAACTTCAGTGACATAGATTATCCAAGAAGAGCTTCAACTAAAATGTTTAAACAAAGAAACTATTCCAGGACACCTAACAGATGCGAATAAGATTGCTAACCTGGTAATTCATTTCATTTAATATGGTTCATTGATAAATTTACAATTTGCAAAATGATAGGGTGTGCATTGCAGTTTAAATGAAAAAAAAAACAAGTATTTGATCGAATGCTATTACAACATTAGAGTCAAATTAAATTAAAATGTTGATATTTTCATGTTTATGCTGAATTGCAAAGTTTTTGTTGGAAAGTTGGAAATTTGTTTGTCCAACTTTGAATATGCATAAATTTGGAATCTGCGTTTGATAAAATTTACAGAAAACTGTAATTTATACCTCAGAATATTTTAAAATATATTTGAAAAATTAAACAAATAATTCGATTGGAACATAATGTTTAGAAAACTCACTCTGGTTTAAAAGGAATTCCCCAATTACTTTTAAAGTAGATAGTATCCACCATGACAAATTTGGTTTCTGAATTAAGAGACCCGGGAGGTAATAAATCTTTGATTAAACCTTTAGTAGACTTTGAAACATCAGAATTGATTGTCACAACCGCTGCATCAGCTTGAGATTCGTAATTTAGAACTTGCACACGGGTTTCATAGTATTTAGACACTTTTTGAACAAATATTGGATCAACTTTAAATTTTTCATTCGGATATATTCCGTTAGATATCTCTATGGTTACGTTTTGGTAGCTTTTTAGAGTTTGAGTAACTTTTTGAACAGCGGAATGTAGAATTTCCTGATTTTTAGCAGTTATTCCAGAGGATCCCTGAAGTATGTCTCCATAATGTAGAGTGTTAAACAACTCCTTGTATGTTTGGCCTCCAACCGCCAACATTAAAACGGTCAGTGCACGGCCAATGTTAAAAGGCGAAAATATAATATTCCTTTGATTCGTTATCGGAATATCATTTTTGTGGCCAGCATATTTGTCATGGAGAGATTTTAGCAATTGAAAAGTTAATTTTTGGTTAACCTCTCCTAGTTGCGTTGATTCCAAAGTACTATTTACAGCAGGAATAGAGGCGCAAATGAGGTACACGTTAAGGATAACCAAGAATGCTATTAACATGATTTCACAAAGAAAAAGTTATTATATTATTTGTGACTAAAATATATGATGAAACTTGTGGTATCTCTTTAAAATTTTTTTTTCCCTTTCTTTTAAATTGATTTCGTATTTATGTCGATCTCAGACTTGGAAAATCTATTTGCGAAACGCAAAAAATTATTTTTTTAAATAAAATGGATTTAAATCTTAATTAACAATTTTATCAACCGGATTTTTATATAAAATTATGCTAGTTTTTTTTTTTTGTAAATTTTAAAATTTATTATAATGCTTGATTAGCTCATAAATAACAATATTATCTTTATCTGACCTTCATAGAGTTAACCATCTTTAAACATGTTTTTATATACTTATTTTAAGTTACATCTCAGGAATTCGTTTGCACAGAAGTGTTATATAAAATAATAAGTGAGATTTTTTTGTATATAATAAAAAGCTTTGTCGCGATCGACATTTTCGTTACATATTTTTTTTTGTCCACATTATTTGGTGACATATTTTGTGCGCGAGTGGTAACAATTCGGGGTTTGGAATCGAACTAACGTCTTAATACGGTAACCGAACATATGTCGATCACCAGCTTTAGCGTAATACTAGTGTTGTTAAACGGCCCAATTTAAGCCGATTTTTTTTTAAAACCGCTAACTCAATATTTTAGCCAATAAAAAAACAAAGGTTTGGACATCTATTAGCGAAATCTCGAGGCTTTGGCAAATATTCTTCTGGCTAAAATCTTGAGTTAGACGTTTTTAAAAATTGGCTCAAATAGAGCCATTTATCAACACTACGTAATACCTTCATGTATTTCTAAATTTTTATTTTTTTTAACGTTGTCTCTTAACACAAAATATCGATATGGATATCAAATTAAAATCGAATTTAGATATCTTTTAACTAAAAGTACTTACTCTTAATCTTAACCGGTAGAACTTGGGTCTGGGGAATGGACCGTAAAATAATATAAAAAATTTAATAAGATATCAAAATGTCTTTTGATTGTAATGATTATCTTTCGGTACGGTGATAAATTGGCAAAATTTTAAAAAATATCAGCTGTGCTAAGCGATTTCCTTAAGTTGGAATATATTTTTCACGTGATTATAATACATGATAGCGCAGGCGCAAAGTATTCCCATCTAAATCGTGGTTATTCCGGATTTAATATCATCTGGTAGTTTGCAAAATATTGACATTAGGTTGGGATACTTCTTTTTTTTAAATACATTAAGATGATAGTAAAAACTATCATATTTTGTACCGGAGATTATTCATAATAGATATCATATTTTTGTAACGGAAATTATTCATAATAGATATCATATTTTTGTAACGGAAATTATTCATAATAGATATCATATTTTTGTAACGGATATTATTATTCATAATAGATATCATATTTTTGTAACGGATATTATTATTCATAATAGATATCATATTTTGTAACGGATATTAATTATAATTCCTATTAATAGATTCGCTAAATTTAGTTAATTTTAGCAAAGTGTCTTGGAACACATACATTTGATAATATTAATTAATAAATTTGTAATTTATTTGATCGAGCTTAGAGAAGGTATATAATTAAAAATATGATTTTAAAGAAAAAATGACATATTTCCCCACACTTCTAATTATTTTGAAAGCTTTTCTTATTTTTTTTTTTTGAAATTCATTATTTAAATTTAAAAAAAAAAATTCGCTATTCTTCCAAATACTTTTCACATATTATTCCATCACCTATCTACTCATTTAAAATCATTCTAAGGCGACGGGAAGCCACTCAATTAGAATTTTATAAGTATTATTATTATCATTATAACCAGCTGACAGACCTTTCAAGAATGTTGTGGAGAATCAGAATTTTCTCTTTTTATTTTAATTTAGCTTCTATTTGATACTCATAAACTATTAGTATATAATACAAATATTTCATATCAGACCAATATCAAAAACCAATATTACATCCCATGAATATATATATATATCAAAATATGAATATTACAAAACCTGTTTAAATTATCTTTATTTTTTCTTCATATTAATATTTACAACTTCAATCACCTGATTACAAAATTAAAAACAAAGAAAATTAAAAGTCAATAATAATCTTCTAGAAAATATATTAATAACAAAACGTCCATAAATGTCAATTACAAATAGGCAGATACAACAATAACTATATTTTAATTCTCTTCTATTTGATATCCCATATTAATTTTATTATGTTAATAAAAATATTACTGATTCTCCCCAATACCTAGACCCGACCACTTAAATTGATATTTAACATGAATGTCAAAAGATATCTTGATTACCTTTCATTTAATACCCATATCAAGATTTTATATTAGCATAGATGATTCTGAGACCCCTCCCACCCCAAAGCCTAGACTCACCTAATATGGAAAAGACTGACCAGTTGGATAGGTTTTTTTATTAGCTAACTATTGATACCTATATTGGGCATATCTACTAACTTATTAAACGATCTAACATAAAGTTATAGTGGTCTAAACACAATACTATTGAATGAATATTGGTATGAAAAATATTATTAGAAGTATATATGGTATAAAGAATATCATTGGATGAATATTCCTATTAAGAAATGCTATTGGATAAATATGATAGCACGATTATTTATATAGATTATGATTCTTTTTAATATTTGATCGGTATCATAAAAGAGAAATGATGCAAAGATGGAAAATGACGAAAAATGGACGCAAAAAATAATACATTTCCGCAAATTTTTTTTTTAAAATGTACTTACATAAAGTTAAAGGCACCAAAAATATGCTAAATTCAGGCTAAAATGTGAAGCAGAAAAAACATATGCAAAATATTTTTCTTAAAAAATTGTAATTAACGATATAAATCTTCTCCCCCGATTTTTTTGACATTTCTTATGCCACCCTTAGATAAATTTCTAACTAATACAATCCGAGAGCGGTATCTGGAAATGTAAAACTATTCATGTCATTTTGCAAAAAAACAAGTTAATACTCTCATTGTTTCTGACACAATAGGTGCTTTTGAACTTAGAGCCCGGGATCTCTTCTAAGCACTAGGCCAGAAAATGCGCCGCTTCCTTTCTGGAGATTCTAGGATAGGTTTTTTTTTACCTACGTCATCGAATTTAAATGGAAATTTGAAGGGTCACATAGTATATCAATCCATGATGCCATAGCCAAGACTTACTTCCTCAAGTTTTTTTTAAAAATATATTTCTTTTTTATTATAAATTGTAATCCTTTGTAATCGTTTTTTTTTTGAATCAAAGTAAAACCTTCATTCAATATTAATATAACAAAACAGTATATGTGCTACAATAAAAGGTATATATATATATATTAGATAAAATTTTTTGCAAGCTATATCATATAATTATGATCATTATTGCTTGATATAAGTCCCGATGAACAAGACATGACCAGTGGTGTCCAGGATGAAATACAAGAACGGCCTGTCGGCTTTAAATTTTCTAACAATTGGTAAGGAATATGAGGTTATCACTGAACCGGATGCTGCAGCTGCCTCGGTTCCTTTTTAGTTCACCTCGATAACCGCCTTGTGAAATATTTCGCTGACATATAGCTTATCGGTGATAGGTGTAATTGATCCTGTCAAACCAGTAAAATCTGCAGTGGAGCTATTTATTATTTTTAAACATTATTATATTATATATTATAAAGCTTCCTATAGTATATAATAAATGAACTTATAATTATTTTAACATAGTATTGCCAATATTTATGTTATTTTTGAAAGAAAAGTTTCTACGCGTTTTTTAAAAACTGGTATTTAATAACACAAGGAAAAAAAATGTATTTCAAATACTTTTTTTTTTATTGAATGGTTTTTAAATTATTTGGGAATAAATTGTATCTAATCTTTCTAAGAAAGTAAAAAGAGGGGCATGTTGCATTGGAACTCCCATTATAAAATAGAAAGAATTTGTAAAATCATCCTTAATAAATACCTTATTTAAATCAAGAAACCTACAATAGTATTATATATCAAGATTAAAAAGTATGTTAAAATTATACTCAAATATGTTTCTAAGACCAAGATTTTTCAGGGTCTCGGAGAGGGCGACATCGTATCTTGTCTCGAAAACTGGAAGAGTAATATCTACCAAGGTGTTTTCGACCATCTTCATCAGGGAAGAGAGTGATTCGCTGGATAAGACCTTGATCAAATTTGATAATCCATTTTTCTCGGGGAGCACAAAAAACATAGCCAAATTGGGATTGGCATATTGCATTCGGAGAACTTGGATCTCTTGATCTGGAACAGAAGTTGGCAGGTCTCCTATCATCTTCATCTTAGTGCTACCGTATCGAGCATTCTTGTGGCCAAACATCATTTTAACATTTTCGACTATTCCATCGTCCCTCGTAAAGGCCTGTAAAGTGGTTAACCTAATATTTAGTAAAAATTCTATTTGTAATAAAAAAACTCAACTAAATGAAAATCAGAACCCCCCTCCCTACAGTAAGAAAGAAAGGAAGAAATAAAGAAAGAAAGAAAGAAAGAAAGAAAGAAAGAAAGAAAGAAAGAAAGAAAGAAAGAAAGAAAGAAAGAAAGGAGAAGAGAAGAAAGAAAAGGGCCAGACCCTTAGTAGGTTTATAATTTTGCATCTTTTGACTTGATAAAAATTCCTCTCACCCTTCTCAATATGATTATGAAACGCAACGCCTTATAAATCGCTTACTTTGTGTCGAAACGGTCATCCCAATCGCTCTTAAAGTAAATGGCATTCACCATGACTAATTTGGTGTTCGAATCAAGAGACCCGCGAGGTAATAAGTCCTTGATTAAGCCCTTAGTATTCTTAGAAACTTCGGAATTGATGATCTTAACCCCGGCATCGGCTTGAGATTTGTAATTCAAAGTCTTGACCTGCGCCTCGTAATATTTGAAGGCTTTTTTGATGAAGGTAGGATCGATTTTAAAACTTTCTTCCGGATAAATCGCGTTCGATATCTCTATGGTCGTATTTCGATAATTTTTAAGAGTTCGAATAGCCCCGTGAATGGCCGTGTGTAAAATTTCCTGATTTTTGGCAGTAATATCCTTCGATCCACGGAATACATCTCCGTAATGTAAAGTTTTGAACAACTCCTTAAACGTTTCACCTCCGGCTCCCAGCAACAAAAGAGTCAGAGCATCGATAATGTTAAAAGGTGAAAATATCAAATTTTTCTGATCCGAAACGGGGATGCCATTTGTATGTCCTATATTTTTGTCCTGCAAAGATTTCAATAATTGCAAGGTGAATTTCTGGCCGATATTTTCTAAGCGCCCTGATGCCAAAGTGTCCGTGAGTTTGGTAGTAGTAACAGGGTGGATATCGCCAATTTCATCGCATTTAATTACTTGGATACCTAGAACCAATACCGATAATGCTTTTGTCGCAATAAAAAATTATTCATATTAATTTAAAATTTTATAAATTTGATACTATTTTTTGTTGGTTAATAATCCTCCCCCCCCCCTCCTCCTCCCAATCAATTTTTTCCTCTATTAAACACATGTCTACTGATCCGAATTAAGTTGTTAACCATTAAATTATTATTCTTTCATAATCTAATTTAAAAAATAATCTAAAAATCAGTATGATTCAATAAACTATTATTAGCAGCCAGTCATACAAAATAAAGTGTTTAGAGAAATGACTAGATATTGACAAAAAAAATCGTTATCAGATATCCAATCCTAATAACTTATTCCAGTTATATTCGATATTAATTAGGAAGTATAATTATTTAACAAATATTCTTTTTAAAATTAGATGACACACAAACACAATGAATGGCCCCATTACCTTTGTCTATATCAAAACACAACACCCCTTCAAATAAAATAAGTAAATATAAACACACCCCCTTAAATTAAAGATATTTATAATATTTACCTTAATTTTATAGAATTATATAAAAATCAGTACAACATGTAAATTCGAACACTATTAAGGACTAAATTTTTATTTTATTCTATTTAGATAAAGTGTTATAATAACATTTCTAGTACTGCTTAATTTATTTTTAAATAAAACACATGTTGCTTCTTTATATACATTATACAATGGTTATTATCAGAATTTAAGTCGTTGTTAGGCTTTGTTGTAATTAGTAGTGTTGTTAAACGGCTAACTCAATATTTCATCCAGAAAAATATTACACAAGTCTGAAGATTTTGCTCATAGAAGGAACAAAGGTATCGAAATCTCGAAGCTAAGGCAATAATTTTTTGGCTAAAATATTGAGTTACACTATTAATTAGAGGATCATATATGAGAAGGCATGAGGGAAATAAAATATATTTTTTAGATCCAACTCATCTATGTCTATTGTTCTGAACTATGAGCAGAGTCCAGCCAAGATCCGATGCAAGACGATTCAATAACTTAACGATATTGAGAAAAATCTTTTCAATGAGATCAATCTTCCTTTATCAAAATCAATGATTACTACGTAAAATTGATCTCGTAAACAGATGTTTTTTAAAAAATGGATCAGCTGTTAAATCGTGTCCGATTGGATTCCCACTTTAAATCTAGCCTTAATCGGATACATGTATGGGTATGTTATGACATTTTCTTAAAAACAAATGTATTAAGATATAAATGTACAACAAATTTTTTTTAAAGGGATATTTGTATCCCGATACATTATTTTTGTTAGGGATATGAAAATTGTTAAATATTAATTTACTTAAAATTTTCAAGAATTTTTCCATGTTTTTTTTTGTCAGAAACGATAAAGAAATTTATTTTAATTAAATTTTAATTATTACAAAAATATATTACAATATACGAATATATGTATTTTTTTTTAAAAAAAAGAAAGATTATTATCATGTTTATAATTATCTAAAAATAATTTCATTATGACTTTCTTATAAAGGTTAAATTATTTCGAAAAAGATGAAAAAAATCAACTTTATTCCTTATAGGGTATATTTTTGAATTTTTTTTAGTGGATTTATTATATTTTGAAAACCAGAGAAGCGAAGAGAAAAGAAAAGAAGAGAAGAGAAGAGAAGAGAAGAGAAGAGAAGAGAAGAGAAGAGAAGAGAAGAGAAGAGAAGAGAAGAGAAGAGAAGAGAAGAGAAGAGAAGAGAAGAGAAGAGAAGAGAAGAGAAGAGAAGAGAAGAGAATTTTTTAAAAAAAATAATTCAAAATCGTTATTTTAATGATGTAAAAAAACGATTTCAACTGTTCTACTAGATCCAATAATTCTATTTAGGAGATGTGGGTGTTATCGAAGTATATTTTAAAGCGTTGCCTAGGGGCTCAATAAACGAAGTTCTTAGCAGCCATTCTCATTTCGGTGCAATAAATTTGATCATCCTATGTCAGGCAGAATAGATGGGTTCTCAGTATTTCATCTTAGATTCTCGAAATGGGAACTCGCACCAAAGGAACAATGGAAATAGTTGCGAAATTTCAAATAAAAAAGCTATTGTTTACATTTAACCGTTATGATTATTAATGTAACCTTAATTGTATATATATATTCAAATGAGAATTTTATCTCTTAAAATTCAATTGTTTCTTAATTTTATGAAATAATAACCTTTAAAAATATTTTCATAAAATTTTTTAGATAAGGATTTCTAAATCTACTTTATCTATTATTATTATTTTTATCTCAATGCAATCATTATTTTCATGTTTTTCAATCTCTTATATAAGACAATGCTAAAAAAATAAAGAGTAAAAAGTCAGCATGAACTTGTATAAGAACTAAAAAATTTACAATTTTTAAAATAGTATCTATTTCGAATATATCAATTTCATAAAATGGTGGTTATTTTGCCTAGTAATACGCCTAGCGGCTAGTGTTGCTAAATTAACTAACTCTAATCAACTGTAAAACAGTGTAGCCATTTTTTTAAACCAAAAAATGGTTCCAATCAAATCTCCAAGCTGAGACTCAACTTAGAGGCTTAATTCAAGTTTTAGGCTAAAAGCTTGACTAACTACAGGCTTTAGGGCTATAGTGGAGTGACCTAAGTGTTGTTGAAACGGTTAACAATATTTACGCCAAACATAAATGTTGGATATTCATTAACGAAATCTTGATGATTGCGTAATATGACTAAAATAAACATTATGAAAAATTTTGATAATGGCAATATTTTTGAGTCTTAAATATATTATATTTCTAAATCATTCATGGCCCAATAAAATGAAACACGAGATAACAACTCTCACCAGCAGTAAAATGAACACAGTGCCTATACCATGGCTTCGACTAGACAAATATTGACGCATTAATATTTTAAAGTCCTCATAGAAATTTTTAACCCCTACTAATAAATATTTTGAATTCCCAACACATCCAGCACGCACTAAATAAAAGCTTTCATCGGTTTGTAATGGTTTGTTCATATGTCAATAATAATAACCTTGATTTGCACTGCATTTAGTTGTAATAAAGGGTTAGGGGGGTTAATTGCAAATTTTAAGCCCGACCATTAAATAATAAATTATTTAAATTTATTTATTTATTTCTTTCTTTCTTTCTTTCTTTCTTTCTTTCTTTCTTTTTTTCTCACTCTAAATCTAAAAGGATGCATAAATTTATATAATGGCGGAACACGGAAAAAGATTTAGGAACTCTAGAAGGTACTACAAGGTCCAATCTATTTTTTATGCGCAAATTCTCAAAAAAAAAACAAAAATTTGAATATGTTCGCGTTTAAAAAAGGAGGAACGCACTCAAATCAGCGTACGCGTTCATTCGTATATACTATATACCTTAAAATAATGGATAATAATATTATCATCTCGAGTTAGACGTCGCGTTAAAATATTTTCATTTTATCAAATAGATATATATAATATGTAATAATATAAAATATAAAATATAAATTTACCAATTTAAAAAATTTTTTTTTCTTATTAGTTTTTTTGGAATTGAGAATTGTAGATTTTTCCAAAATTTTCATCATCCTTGTAACCAGGAACGTTTTGTAGTTTAACTCAGGAATTTCCATGCTAAAGAACAGCACGAGTTGAGGAATGATGAATGAGTATCGATCTCTTTATTTCTGGAAATTAACTGTAAATAGTTTGTTTTTTTTTATATCACTTAGTTTTCGAAAAATTTCTTTCGATTGGAACATTGTTCAAATTTAATAGGGCTCCCGAAAAGGTTTATTCTTCAAGCGCATAAATTGATTATATAGAGGCAATGTGAATTGCTAAAATTTAATTCATTTCACTCATTTAGCACCAACACTGTAAGTGTTGCTAAGCGGATCGATTTTTTAAAAACGACTACCAATATATAAGATAAGCCCAAAAAAATGTTATACAGGGCCTCTAGAATTCATTAATAGCTATTTCAAACCTTACTGTCATCTATGGACAAAATCTCGAGGCTTGTATGATATTCTTAGGTATAACCAATGACATTATATAATACCTAGACTGACGATTCATTCGTTAAAAGTGTTACATCAATGCAAATCAGCTGGAGACGCCATCTTGGTTACACTAATCATTATTAAAATTTTAAAACGAGAGCCTAATTTATTCCTATATCTGAATGCAAACTTTATTAATGAATTAACCGGATCATCGAGATAATAAGGAAGCAAAGTTATCAATTTAATAGTAGTTTTTAACAATGAGAATAATTACTATATGTGTTACCAAAAATGGCGGGTCCAGCTGATTTGCTTTTTAACGACGCTTAAAAATGCATCTTAATGAATGAATGGTCAGTAGGTATTATACATGTCATTGGGTATAACAGTTCTAGCGCACTAGTCTGCTACAGAAGAACTTACATTAATTACTTTAACTTTGGGCATGTGTGGGTATAATAAAAAAAATGTTGTGATTAAGAACTCGGCTAACGGCTAAAACAAAACAAATATATCGAAATGTTATATAACCTTTTTTTTCGCGTAATATAAAACCGTTTTATTCCTCGACAAAGGATGGCCATTAAATAGAATTTTTGGATTCAGGAATTTAGTATATTACTTGGAATTAAGTCATTCCAATTCATGTTAATGTGTATGTATATTTTCAATCACAGAGAACTGGCTATATAGCTATCCTTTAAAGCTAATTATCAAAGTTTCAATGGCAGTTCTTCTCTCCACAGATCTTTGCTAGACTTCACTTTCTCTTCCCTTATTTTCTTATCATTTTTTCCACTTTATATTTCATCTTTATATTATTTAATTTGAGAATTTATTTTATTTTATTTTTTTTTCGTTATATATGGATAATAAAAAAAAAATAATATAATTTAATTTTATTATCATGTTATTCTTACATATGAAAATTAAATGAGTATAATAAAGTGGATCATTTAAAGGATTTTAACAGAGTTGTTAAAAGATACTTTTTAAATGGATCTAGATACCGATATTTTAATCAAAAATCTATTTAGATACAGATACCACATTTTTATATCTAGATTGCTACAATAATCGTTAGAAAAAAATGATGATAAAACTGCAAATGACCCGAGTTTTGAGGTCTCATCGATGAGCTTCTCCCAAGTTACGTAGAAGAAGTCGGTAAAATGGTGGTTTACCCCGGGGCAAAACGCCCTTGTGACGCATGGCTTATAAAAATTCCAACGGGTAAATTAGAAACAACTAAAAGCGAAGAGTTTAAAAAAATAAAATAATTAATATTAAAAGTTGTTTTTAAAAGATTTGTTTTTGAACAGAAAAATCTTTGAAGATTTTGTTTTAAGATCAAAAATTTTTGAATATTCAAACCCTGCGTTGCAAGCGCAAATAATGCCTTTCAAATGACCTCGTGCGAATTGGTAAAATTATCGTTTGGCGTTAGCAACCATTTTAAAAAAATCTTCGTTTTGTAATTATATATAAAAATGTAATTATAAATAACTTACTTATGAGTTATGATCTTAAAAAAGAAATATTTAGAAATTAAAGAAATAAGAACGCAGACGATAATAATTTTCAAAGAAAAAATCCTTTTTTTTTTAGAAAATATTTAAAATTTTGAATCGAACGGATGATTAATAAAAAGAACAACTTCAATTTTAAACGAGGGACGCGTTACGCTTCTTATTTATTTAAAGATTACGGCAAAACGTAAACGCTCGACAATCAACACAACACTTATAAGATAAGAATTTCAAAATTTCAGGGTAAAATTTGATCAAGAACAACTCTCTGTTGTCAAAAGTAATTTGAAACTAGAAAGGCAACCGTATCATTTATAAACATCTGATACACGGGGCTCAGTTGGTCGAAATTTTTTTTTAGTGGCAGCTCAAATTGCGCTAAATATTTTTTTACGATCCGCGTCGGGTAAAAAAATCATTACGAAAAATCCGATCAAATATTTTCAGGTCTATATGCTCGACGCATAACCCCTCAATTATAGCAGCGAAGTATATTCAAAATACGCTACGAATTCGCGCTAAAACGATGAATGCTGGGAGGGAGGGGGGGGAGGGGGGGTAATACAATTATTCAAGTTCTAATGGTTAAATATGATTTGAATTTAAATTAGAGATCTGCAAAAGTAGGCCCGGCCTGATCGATATTCGAGTCTGGTCGGACCTAATCGAGTTCGGGCTTAATATTTTTTAAGAGAATTTTTTTTAAAATATATCTAAATTTATCAATTTTGAATTTTTTATGGATTTTATTGATAGAAACTAAGACGCCTTACAAATAACATAATATCTTTTATTTTGAGCAATTATAAAAAATTATCTTCTAAATTTAAATAAATTCGGGCTGGGCCGGGCCGGTAAATTTTTTTAAAACAAAAATCGAGTTCGAGTCGAGCTAGGGCAAAACTTTTTTAAAAAAATTTTCGGGTCGGACCCTTGAAAAATTAGGCCCGATGCGGATACTTACTTTATACCATCCCCGGTCTTTATTGTTAGATTTTTTTTTAAAATCTTTATTGTATACATATTTTTTTATTATGTCCCATTTTAATATAAATTATAATTAATTACGCGCTTCGTATATATTCATTATTCGTTTAAAAGGGTTGATACAAAATTTTTTCATTTAATTAAAGATTTTATGATAATTATTTTATAATACATTTGGCAAAATGACAAAAATAATTTCATATCTCGAAAAATGGCAATTCTTACATGTTAGTTATTAAACATAACATACATAACAAACCATTGTAAAATTTCAAAAAAAAATATTTAAAAAAATTTTCTAACATGAATTTCTAACTTCATGATTCTCATTTGTTTTTTCTTCTAAATGTTTCTCAAAATGTGTTATTAAAAAAACAGAATTCCACGAAACAAAAAGGAATTTTTAATTTTATATTCATCTTTATTAACCGAACCTAAAAAATTTTGGTCCCTGCACAAGCCCTTGAAATGACCGTCGAGTTGAATTTGTTAGCGGTAGAGATTTTCGAGTTATCGAGGGAGAAGCATATTTAAAACTTAGCTTAGTTAAACTTCTCGGTCTTTAAAAAACGGCAGGTAACCCTTAGCCAAATATCTTACGCCAGTCTGGAGATTTTTGGTCATAGATGGTTAGAAAGGTTAGGATTAATTGAAACTTTCTGGCTTAAAATAGTAAGTTATAGGGCGAAACAAATTGAGCCTTACAAACGCTGCATTGCAAGGCACCAATAATGCCTTTCAAATGGTCCTCGTGGCAAATTGGTAAAATTACCGTTTGGCGTTAGCAACCATATTTTATTTTATTTTTAAAAAAAAGAAGCAAATAGGTTTGTTTTTTCAATACTTTTAATTATTCTTCGTTTTGTAAATATTATATAAAAGGAAAGAAAAAAAGAAAGAAAGAAAGAAATTATAAATAACTTACTTATATATCCTAAAATAAAAAAAGGAATATTTTTAGATATTAAAGAAATAAGAACGCAGACGTTAATATAATCTTCAAAAGAAAAATCGCTATTTGTTGTTTAAAACTTATTTAAAATTTTGAATTGAACGGATAATTAATAAAAAAAAAGAACAACCTCAATTTTAAACGAGGGACGCGTTACGTTTTTTTTATTAAATTATACGGCAACACGGAAACGCTCAATTTGTGCGCACTATTAGACTTTTTTTTTTAAAAAAACGAGTCGTTTAAAACAAACACTATTTTTAAAAAACAATGAATCGTTTTTTATCTTAATTTGCAAATATAAAATATAAAAATTTTAAACTAAATATACAAATCCAGCAAACAATTTTATTAAAAAAATAATGACTATTATAGATTGACATAGTATCAGCTGATTAAAGATTTTAAAATGAAATAATAATTTTACAAATTTATATTTTTCTAAACATTATTAAACGGAAATTTGTTTTTTTCTTTCTTTTTTTATTAAAAAACGAATTATTAGATTTCTAAGGGAGTGGAGATGGAGGTGTGATAAATGTTCCCATAAAAAGTATGTTTAAATCTCTTCGGTCAGCAATGAAATATAGGAAAGGTCGGTTAGCGGTAAAATTTTGAGGCAGGAATATAGCCTTGGCGCTTATAACCGCGCCAGTGGCCGCGGAGGCTTGACTTCCCTTTTCGTTGACTTCTATTTGGGCCTTGTGATAAACATTATTCAAACAGAGCCTTTGGGAACTATTCTTCAGGAGTTCTTGATTAGCAGCCATTTTGCGGAGGTCAGCTTTAGTTCTAGGGAGTATATATATTTTGCATAAATATTAAAATATACTGTAAAATTATGAAGAATAATTTCGATATTATAAATAATATACTACATATATTACGCGTCGAATAGGTCGTTTATGTTCAATTTCATCAGCGTTTCTTTTAGTTCCAGCTCGTAATCTACTTTGAAGACTGGTAGGGTTATGTAAGTCTTTTGCGGGTACATTTTGGTCAGACTCTGCAATAGCTCCCAGCTTAAATCTTCCACCAAGAATTTGAGCCCGTTGCGTTCCGGTAATATAATGTACATGGCCAAATTTTCGTTAGCGTAATCCAATCTCAGCGTTTCTACCAACTGGGGGTGTTTCATGGTGGGACTGTCGACATATTCGGAAGGAAGCTCGAACCTCCCATAATGTACTTTCCTAAAATCTTTCATCATGAGCGTGTCAATCACTTTACCGTCGTCCAGATAGAAGGGTTCTATTACCGAGTTACTATTATATTTATATGTAAATAGTCTTTTATATTAATGAACACACACCAATAAATGTCAGATACGGAGGTAGGTGGGGAAGGGCAGTTCATCTGAGGCCTGAATTTTTTTTGGGGGGGGGGGAAGGGGGGTTGAAATTATTCTTCAACAAATTTAATGAGCGTGGCAGGGTTGTATATAAAGTGAAAGTTAATCAGGACTTCGAGCCTCTAATAAAAACGTTTTGAGGACTTTTTTCGGGTCAAAAATTTGAAGAAAATTATTTGAGGATATTAAAAAAAATACGGATCTTTATTTTAATGGTTTATTCTCGTAAAGGTTTGCCACTATAAATTAGGTCTCAGCCTATAATCCTACTAGAGTATATAATATACTCAATAGCAACAGGAACTTCTACCAGGGGAGATGGGGAGGGATGTATGACGCCCAGATCGCCATTGAAAATGGAGAAGGTAGGTAGCTATGAAGACGTTATCGTCATTTAAATAAAATTTTTGGAAATTGTGTGTAGTAAGGGTAGTTTTGATTTGTAATTCCTTTCTTTACTAAGTTTGATTTGTTAGGAGGTGGTGGGGGGGGGGGGTGTTAAAGATTTTCTGAGGGGGTAATTCCTCATTATTTTAGATGGGGTGGGAGATAGAAATCAATGATCATGTTATTTACTTAGAAACTGACGTCCTCAAGGGACGTTGAAAAATAAGCTGGTGAAACGCGATTTTAGTTTCTCGTATTAGAATTTTTTCTATAAAATAAATTTAAAAAAAAACTGGAAAAATTATAGTTTTTGAGTTTAAAATTTTAAAATGTAAAATTATTACGGAAAACAGACATGTCAGCAGTTGATTTGACTTTGATTTGACAAGCATTTTTTTCAAAAAAAATGAGTCGTAACCACACATTCGCGACGAAGTTATACAAAAAAAATGAATTCAATAATAATTATATTTATCAGGCCATTTTAAGCTTAGATTAAAAAGCCAAAAATAAAAGTAAGAGGCAATCTAGTTTTTTTTAAAGTGTGTCACTCATTTTAATTTTTCTAAATAATGAGATTGTACATAATATAAATATAGCAAAACGAAGTGTATACGTAATAGTAGGGATAGAAATAAATGTTTAAAAAATAAACACCTTTTTTTTTACAGCCAGCAACAATTAAATGAAACAAACAGAAAAAAAAATTTAAAAAACCCAACCTTTAAAAAGTCAAAATATGGTGACCTAGGTTCAAAAGCAATTTCGCTTAGTCTAGATGTCCGCAATGGGCGGCTTTTTAGCCAAAAAGCCCGCGCTTACTCGTTGTTTTGAAATTTATTTAACCAGCCCACCCGCTTCACTGATAACTTTTTAAAAAATTTTATCCGCCAGCCCGCCAATTTATTTATAAATTTTGTTTAACCCCCCCGCCTAATGTTTAAAAATTATTTAAATGGTTGGTTTGGGCTATTATTTATTTATTAATTTAAATGTATTTTTTAATTAAACAATATATAATATGAAATATTATGAAATAAAGACTATTATTTTTCAGAGTTGTTAAAAGATACTTTTTAAATGGATCTAGATACAGATACATTCTAAAATAATATCTAGATACAGATATTTTAATCAAAAATCTATCTAGATACAGATATAGATACCACATTTTTATATCTAGATCCTTTAACAACTCTGTTATTTTTAATAAATTTAAGGCCTGTTTCTGCTCATTTCGCTTGAAAAATAACCGCCCATTACTTAAAAAAAAAATTTCCAACCTGCCCGCCATCCGCCAAATGTTGAAGATATTTTAAAAAAAACCTGAGCATGCCCATTCAAATTATGAGCTGGCTGGTTGGGCGGGCGAAAAACACGCCCAACGCGGACTCTAGCCTAGGCTGTACACAAATATATCAAAAATAAATCGAACTTAGGACAGAGCCTAAATATATTATAAGATGCTTCGATGGTTCTATAAATGCTTCGCCAAGAAAAATGCTTGTAAAAAGTTTCAAATACAAATTTAAATTTTATCCAGTTTCAAAAAGTAAATTTTTTTTATATATAATAAAATTTTGTTATAAAAGTTGTATAATAATATACAGAGTTAAATATCAATTTTAAATTAATATAAAGTAATCACAAATTTTTCGTGTGAAAAAAAAAATATTAACGAATATTTAAGGTAATATGAAGACCTGAGCAGGATTTGGTGGGGTGCTTATTAGTCATTATTTGACAGAAATTTTTTAATATAGTAAAAAAACATCCATATTTATGAGAACACCTATAATGACATTATGAAGATTGTTGACTGTAATTTTTTGTAAATTACATATGACAGTTTTAAGTGACAGCGAGTATATCAATATTGAGAACCTGAAAGCCCCGGCCTAGCCCAAGCACACGGGTATACGGGTCGGACTGCATTTTAATTATTTTAAATATACCCGGGCCGGGTTTTAAAATTTAAAAAAAAATACACAAGCCGGGCATTTTAAAACCGAATATTTTAAATCGCTATTATTATCTATAAAAACCGAACTCGATCGAAAAAATCCGGGCCTCGATCCTTGATATTTATAAACAATAAAAAAATTCTTATATATAATGGTAATTTTTTGGTACAAGATGATTGATATATTCGAAAATAGATTTAAATCTTCAAAAAAGGAAAATGTCGTATATATATCTCATGATGAATAGCATTGCAGAACAAACAAGATATTTTAAAAAATAGAAAACAATAGCAAAAAATATTATTAAAAAAAAAAATTGAGGTCAATAATATAAAATTCAGCTTTTTAGATTAATATATATATAATTTAAATTAGGGATCTGCAAAAGTAAGACGCGGCACGTACCCGGCCCAAACGGGCTTCGAGGCGAGCCGGCCTTCGGGTTGGGTCGGGCCTATAAGAAAAATCGGGCCGGACCGGGCTTGAAATATTAGGCCCGATGCAGATCAATAATCTTAATATATAAAATATTCTCATATTAGATAATTGTCGAGGTATCCCGATGGAACAGTCAGAATTCTAAAAATAGTTCATTTGTGTTGGCTATATTCTTCCACCAGAATATTTTATCCAAAGCTTTATTGAGTATTATCCAATTTAAATATATCAACAAAATAGTCTTTCTCGTCCAATTTATATAAAAGAAATAGTAAAAAATTTTGTTTTGTTTTGTTTTATGTTTAATTATATTTTTCTCTTAAGTCTTAATAATATAGAAGGAATTCACACATGTTTTAAGTTTCATTTTTTCCAGCTGTTTTCATCTTTTTTGACAGGTTTTTATTTTCGGCCGAGTTTTTTTTGGCAAGCTTTTTAGTTTTTCCCATTTATTACCCATCTAAACAATTATTTAATACTTCAATAGAGAATAATCATGTTATCTCTTTGATATAATTTATCCCTAAAGAACAGAACAACTTCAATTTAATGGCGTTTTAAATTTATACCCTTCTAAATTAATAATTCCAAGACGGTTTAAAAATTTTTTTTTTTAAATCGGGCCTAGCTAGCGGCTGTTTAAAAGATCGGTGAATTGGTTCTCTCTACGATCATCTACTCACGATTATGATCCAACTCAAAAAAAAGTGCCTCTCAGCCCATCTGATATATTTAAATTTCTATTCGTTTATTTATAATCACATGGTCTGTCAGATTTGACGGATTATTATATAAAATATTTTAAAAAAAAGATTAAAAATTTATTAAAAACCAATTTTTTAATATTATCTTAACCCTAACCCATATTTTTGAAACCTTTAATTAACCCTAAACTATATTTTCTTACCTTAAATCCTATCTCATTTCAAATACTTGTTTATAATTTACACCCAATGACATATAAAATTACCTAGATTGACCATGCATTTATTAAAAGTGTACATCAATGAAAAACAGCTGGGGACTCCATTTTGATTACCCATATCATTATTAAAAATTTTAAACGAGAGGCCAATTCGTTCCCTATGTCTGACGCAAACTTTATTAAAGGATTACCTGATCATCGAGATAATAGAGAAGCAAATTATCAATTTAAATAGTTTTTTAGATGGGAATAATTTCTATATGGGTTACAAAAATGGCGGGCCCAGCTGATTTGTATTAAACTACGCTTCAAGTGCAAGTCAGTATTGATTTCACCCAATTAAAAAAAATCTTTCAATTGAACACTCCTTGAGTTGAACTAATATCCTACCACCTAACCTACCCACCTCTTACCTTCTCTGGGCTAACTTTATTAAAATTTTATTTCACTGACGTTCTTATCACCCCAGCCCACTCTTCCCCATGGTAGAAAATGTCCGATAGAAAATGTTTTAACATGTAATTATTTATTTCCAAATTGTCTATGATCATTGTTTAGATGTAAGAGGTTATAAAAAAACAAACAAATAAATGCAATTTATAAAATCAATCAATCAAAAAAAAAATTCTATTTTTTACTGACTTGTCATCGAATTTATCCTTCCAATCGCCTTTGAAATAGATGGCACTCGTGACCACCATCTTCGTATCTTCGCCTAACGAACCTGTCGGCAGTAAATTTTCGATTTTACCTTTGGTAGCTTTAGAAATGTCCTTATTAATGGCCATTTCAGAATTTCGAGAATCGTGAGCTAGATCCAAATTTTTGTAGAGCACCGATTTGTAAATATTGGCCAGAGATTGGGTGAAGGTGGGATTGGCTAGAAAATTCTTATCCGAATACAGAGCGTTCGAAATCTCTAAGGTAACGTTAGGAGCCGCTATTAGGGCCCGCGTCACGTCAGCTAAGGTTTTGTGAATCAGATCTTGGTTACCCTCGGTCAAACCTTTGATCACGGTTTCGTTGTAGTGCAGACCTCGAGCTAATTGGGAGAAGGTATCAGCCCTGGATCCCAAGAGAATCACGGAGAGCACTTGGACAATGTTAAAAGGAGAGAATATCACATTTTTATCGCCCGCCTTCGTCGCAAGGATAGTCTTCAATAAGTCTAAAGCGAATTGGTCATTCGCGGCGGCTAGTTTCGAATCGAATGTTTTGACCCCGTTAGGTCTTGAAACCGAGTTCGACCCGTGTTCAAATGTCCATGACGCGATTAAAACTTGAAACAGAAATTTCCAATAATTTATATATATTTAAACCAAGTGTATACAGAAGGTAAAAAAATAAGATTACCCAAAATACTTAATTTTTAGAAAAGAAAATATAAAAATAAAAAAGCTAACAAAATTACGAGCAAAAATTTCACCTTTTTAGAAAAATTAAATAATAACAAAAAATAAAATTAAATTATTTAAAATTAAATTTTCAAAACAAACAAACAAACAAACTTACCTTGTAAAAACAATTTTACCAATGACATTGAATATTTCCAATATTTTCCGAAATTTAAAAAAATATTTTTAAAAATTTAGAGAATTAGTCTTTTTTATTAAATATAATAAATTAAGTTTTGAAAGCCAAAATTTTTATTTTTAAGATGTAATATCAAAAAATATATAAAATTAAATTACGATAAATAATAATATATAAAATAATAATAATGAAAAAACTTTAATATAATATATATATTTTTTTTTATTTTGAATAAGAAATCTTTAGTTTTGTCAACAATCATGACATTTTTTTTTTCTTTTAAAATTATCATATTTTTTTTTTTGTAATAAAGATAATTTTTTATAATATAAATTTATCATGTTAGATCCTGTTTCTGTTTTTTTTCGTTTTATCTTCTTTTTATGTACAAAAATTACAAATTTATATCATAATAATTTTTAAGTAATGATGTCAATTGGGAAATTTTACGATAAATCCGTTTTTAAAATTCGTCGAAATTTTTAAACATTGACTAATATAACGTTGTTGAATTTCCATTTTATAAGTCTTATCAGTTTTCATGTTGTTAAAAACTTAGCGGAAACAATTCGATTAAACATCATAAGAAAATTTTCATTATATAACGTAAATATATATAAGACCTTTTTGTTTTTAAATGTATTAGTTACTAACTGATAAATACTTTAGTTTAATAAATAATAGTGCGCATGCGCATAAATTGAGCGTTCGGCCCTTCAAATGGCATCGCGCGAATTGAAATTACCGCTTGGCGATAGTGGCCATTTAAAAAAACGCAAATAGGTTTGCTTTTTCGATACTTTTATTCTATTCTTTCGTTTTGTAATATTATATAAAAATGTAAGGAAAAAGAAATTAAGTAAATAAAAAGGCAGACGATAAAAATATCTTAAAATGGAATATTTTAGAAAAGTAAATAAAAAGGCAGACGATAAAATATAATTTTTCAAAGACAAATTCTTTTTAGTTATAAAATTTTTTGAATCGACGGATATTAATAAAAAAAAAAGAAGGTAACCTCAAATTAGACGGGAAGCGTTACGTTTTTTTTAAAAATTAAAATGAAAGGATCAATTTTTTGCAAGCTCTATTATATACATACCCCGTAGAACGAATATACGCGAAGACAGCGTAATCATAAAAATACCCTCCCCCCCACCTATAGAGGTATCATCATGTATGGGATCTACAGATTATCGAAAATATATGATACACGTTTCAACTCCTTCATGGGTGATAAAATTGCATTCGTGTAATTTCTGGAGTGATAATGAATGAATGAGGTAGTTAGTATTAGAGAATTGTTAATTTCATTTCATAAACCAAATATAGGCTTATTTAGAATGAAGCTAACTATATCGTCTCGGTTGTTAAGTAAAATGTATTTAAAAAGTTATAGATAGGTTAAAATTTAAAATTGATGGTAGTCCTTTTATTTCTCCCCCTTTAGTCCTCAAGGAAAGTTTAAAAATATTTTATTTGCACAAGACAATGGGCTTGGGAGTGGATAAAACATTTTGAGTAGCACAAGTGTTATAAAACAAATTTAGGAATAGTTTAGAAAGTAATAGTACTAACTACCACATGGAAACATATAAAGAATATAAGGAATTTATTATAAAAAGTTTGGAAATAGGTTATATTCATCGCTTCAGTGTTTATTAACCCCACTAGGAAAATTTAAAAATATTTTTTGTAACAAACCCCCTATTTTTTTCAGCGATTGTGTTTAGCAGATTAGTTTTGCGAAGATTATGAAGATAGTTCCATTGATATTAATATCATTTTTTCTCATTTAACAGGCGAGAAAATTTTCAAGTTTAAATTATACTATTGGACGGGATAAAATATTTAGATAGGAGTGGTTTTAATAAAAACAAATCCTTTCTTTCTTTTTTTACTCCACGAGGTAATATTTAAAGATGTGAAAGTGAAAATAGTTTTCAGATTATACTGAGATAAGATGTTTTAGAGTCGAGCAGTTGCTAAAAAGAAGGTTCAGGATACTTCGAAATGGATCTTTGCACCTCTCGGATTTAGGGACATAGTGTTGCTTCTGGGAACAGATTAAGATTTTGGCCAAAATAATATTGTGCAAGCATAGAGATTTGGCAAATAGAGGTTCAAGCCTTTCTGCATAGGCAAAATTTCCTTACTTACATAATATTAAAGAAAGAAAAGAAAGAAAGAAAGAAAGAAAGAAAGAAAGAAAGAAAGAAAGAAAGAAAGAAAGAAAGAAAGAAAGAAAGAAAGAAAGAAAGAAAGAAAGAAAGAAAGAAAGAAAGAAAGAAAGAAAGAAAGAAAGAAAGAAAGAAAGAAAGAAAGAAAGAAAGAAAGAAAGAAAGAAAGAAAGAAAGAAAGAAAGAAAGAAAGAAAGAAAGAAAGAAAAGAAAAGAAAAGAAAAGAAAGAGAAAAGAAAAGAAAAAGAAAAGAAAAGAAAAGAAAAGAAAAGAAAAGAAAAGAAAAGAAAAGAAAAGAAAAGAAAAAGTAAGAGTAAGAGTAAGAAAAATCAACTAATCCCACATCTTTTACAGTCTAGTGGTAGAGATATATCTAAACCAAGCCTGATAGCCAAATCATTTCTAAATTCCTTATTTGTATGCTTGAGTAAGCTTTTAAACATTTGTCACCTGATTTATCCATGACCAATGAACGAAGATTTAGTACACGCTGTGCGTCAGTGCGGGTCGTTACTATATTTTTACCCTCTTAAGTCAATTTTTTAGCCGGCTAAAAAAAATCGGTTAAACCAAGTTATTAGCTGAAATCTATCACTTTAGTCTCGGTGAGTTTTGCATTAAAAAGGGAGCAACTCAAATTTGGAAGAAACTTATATAAATTAAAAAGCTTTAATATTAACGGATTTTCTCCGGCAAGCGCTTGAAGATTTGGCAGATTAGCCGATATTTAGACATTACCCACTATAGCTCATTCCTCGAAAGTAGATAATAGAAGGAGCCTGACACGATTGAAGCATCCCGATCCTTTTGTGAATTTAGAAAGGGGATAAATTGCGCCAAAGGATGTTTCAGCAGACCAGCATATCGAAGCATTGTTTAGCACGATGTCCTCAGAAGATTACATTAATTTGAAAATTTAGATTTTTAGTTTTTTTTATAAAAATAAAGATGAAATAAATGAAATTAATGCAAGGAGTAATAGTGATCCTAACCCAAAACCCGTCAGATTTTGTTGGTAGAGTGGTTAGCATTTTGGTGAAATTTATAAGGTTGACTTTATTCGCCAAATGATCTAAAGCAGAATTGTAGAAACGCCTGATGGGAACGTAAATGCTTGTTGAGATTTTTGAATAAAGATTAATCAGATTATCAAAATAATTTGGATCCATGAAGATCCTCCTAATTGGTGACCCAAGAACGAAGATTTTATCTTTAATCACACGAGGAAAAAAAAGATCAATAATTGGTAGTTGAATATATTTCTCATTAATTTTAGGACAAATTTAGTTGATGAAAATTTAGAATGATGATATCTACAGCTTTAATTATTTTACTGATAAGACCCGACGTTCAGATCTAGATTACAATTGGTTTTTATTATTTCATATGATGTTGTTTATAGCTAAGCAGTATGAAGGTGGACTCAATGGATCCCCCTTGTTGCATTCTTCGTGCTGAAAAGGATAGTTTGATTGCCACATCGTAATATGGTAGGGATACAGCTTGACCTGGATATAATTGAAATAATATGTAAATCACTAAGAATCTTTGGATTAAAAAAAATTACTATTTGAAGTATTGAAGACATTTTTTTATGCACAGTTTTACGAATGCGGTGTTCTGAAGCATGGATATCCAAAGTAATCCTTGCCGAATGACTAGCTGTTTCGCATCCCGCTTTAATGCCAAACCCCTAATTGGTGTTAGGAGACAGCAATTCTGGTAACAGACTTTTTTTATATGTTTGTATATAATTTTTGAGATAATCCTTCCTATAACTCCACCTACAGCAATTGGGCTGATGCCTTGATCTGGCTTCTGTAAGACGATTAGTCTTGCTCCAAAGAATAGTGTGAAACCAATGGTTGGGGTAGACCACATTAACTATTAGGTTACGAAGATCAGTCAATGCCGGGATCAGAGAGCAAGAATTGTCAAACTGTCCCAATACAAATCAATCCTCCTGCGGAGACTAATAAAAATGAATAATAGCTTCGAGTACCTCATCTAGGGTTAATTTGATTGAAGGTGTCTTTAATAATGAGAAAATATTGTTATTAGCCTTATCCGGAAGTCTGGAAAGCAGTTCATTAAAAATTTATATTGTATCAGGAGAAATTTGTTCAATGTTAAAAAAAAAACCTTCTAAAGCACCCTTGCTATTTAAAAATATTTATATTTTTTTTCGATATAATTTTAGCCAAAGATTTTTATTTTTTGATATATACATATCTGAATTATTATTAAAAAATTTAATTAAATTATCTTTGATAGATTTTGATGTGGGAGATTCTTTGTCTTCTGGGACCTTAAGTATGTGAAAAGTAATTGGAATAATCTTTAATAACAAATTATTGCAATCTTGTAATATTGATTTGATTATGTTTACCAGGAAGGATTGTTCTGCTGATCTGGCTCCACGAGGTAGCCTGGATAATGTTGGGGGAAGTGTGTGGCCAAGAATGTGTTAGACCATCAATAATCTGGATCCTTCGAAAATTTAAATTTTCAACTTTTTAGGTATCGCAGAATCATGTTGAATATTGATACTTTGATACTTATCCTGAAAAGTTAGTAAAATTGTAATGCAAATCATTAGATGATGCTACTAAAATAAGAATTTTGATTTTCCAGTTCAATATTGGTAGGTATGCTTAAAGTAGAAGGTGGTATAAAACTAAGAAGTGGACCCTGTAGTCTGAATCCTACATCTGGACAATGTTGGGTCATGGAGACTAAATTTATTATCTTTAATTAGAAAATAAAGCTTAAGGCAATATTGAATCTTGACAAAAAAAAATAATCGTCGAAGTTTTTATTTGTGCAAAATGTTTTCATTAAAAAAAGAATATGTATATTTGAATTTTTTCTTTGTAAATATTAATTTTTTTCCTGTAGGTAATTTTAGTAATTTATATTTAAAATACTTATTTTTAAAATGTATTTTTTTTATTATATAT